AACAGGCTTTCACCATCGGCCTTAACCCATCCCGACGAGAGCCACGCCCATGGACAGTCAGGGCAGTCCCCGCAGCCTGTAGCTACCCTGCAAATACAAAGGCTGTCTATGGAGCCCTCTGCAGAGCCTGGGTTATCTCCCTGCCAGTTCTCACAGGGATCGCCCACTTTCCAACTGGACACCTCAACTTGTGGGATATGCTAAGTCCTCCCCAGGCTGAACCTGGTACATTCTTCCTTATTTGGAGCCCAGGGCTTCCTGTCCAGGAGTTCCCCCCTTCTGTGACACCATTAGTGTGCCCCGATTAATCCCCTGCATGCCACAACGGATTTGTAACCCCACTGTCTGCGTGAGGCCTCTCCCCTATTTGTCCCTGGGTCTGATGTAGACACAACACCAGGGACATATGGGAGGAGGTCATCCACCCATCCCAGGGACCAACCCCACTGACAGACCGACCGCTTCAGAAACTGAACAGGCTGAGGAATGGAGGTGCTCGCTCAGAACAGTGGGCTCACGGGTGCAGCCTGGACACACCCAGGAACTCAGCAGGCCTCATGAGCACCAGAGAAGGCGAGGGACCAGAGCTTGAGGGAGTGGCAGGCAAGTGCAGCACCCTCCTTATAAGGCAGTCTGGGGAGCCACCAAGTGTGGCTGTGTGCCAGAAGGGAGGCTGGAGGAGCTGAGCCAGCAGCCTGCCCTCGAGGTATCCCAGCATCACCAAGGGCTCTATGACAACGGGAACCCAACATATATAACAGAGCTTAGATCTCAGAGGCCAGGGAGCCTGGGCTGCCTTTCTCCTTCAGACATCTAGGTCCCCTTACTCCTCCCTGACCCCTCACCAGTGCACTCTGAGGATGGCTCTCCTCCTCTACTCAGCCCCCAGCACTGAAGGGACAAGCAAGGATGTGGAGCAGGGAACATGGACCTCTGGGAAGAAGCTACAAGAAGCATTAGCTTGGTCCCTTGGGGTAGGCTTTGGGGTTCCTGCATGTGCCTGCAGCAGCCGCTAAAATGTCCCCAGGTCACCGCCTGCCAGACGCCACCATTAATTTTTATTGTCCAAGTCACTTACTAGTTACCGTAGGATACTCTATAAAAATAGACAGCGGGCCCGAGCTGTGCCCCCCTCCCCTGAGGACCCCAGCCTCCAGTTGGCTGCTGACAGAATTCTGAAGAGTGTACAGCAGAATGGTGAGGGTGACGAGAGCTTGTGGTTAAAATTTAGTCCTTTTCCTAATGTTCACAATTTTCTGCATTTTGAAGAATCGAAAATTACTGATTGTCCCATGGAAATCTGTTTTCTGCGCTGGGAAAAAAGAGACCAGCAGTGGGAAGATGTAGTTTACACATGCAAGTAATTTACAACCTAGGAGAAAGCAAAGATGGCCCGGAGTTACAGGAAGGGAGGGTGTGTCCACCTATGGGGCAGGATGGGTAGGGATTTGAGGGGAGTGTAGGAGTTGAACAAAGCAAGAGCAGGGGTCAAGAGGTCGGAGTTAAGGGTTTGTAAGGAAGGTGTGGAAACACAGAGAAGAGCCGAGCCGGGAGCTAGGGAGCAGGAAGGACCCTGCTATTGGGTGCCTAGCCAGGAACAGCTCAGCAAGGGCACCAGAGACCCCATGGATGTACGGCCAGAGGAGGAGGGAGAATGGGCTGTAGCATTGGAGGAGAGGCTGTGGGTGGGGGAAGATGAGACAGTTCCCCAGAGCCACACCATATGTTTTCCAATAGGCTCCCTGGAGAAGGCCCTGCTTGCCTTGTCTCTCTCTTTTGCTCTGCCCTGTCCTCCACTATCTTGGGGCTCTAGACTACCACGAAGGGCCTTCCGTGTGTTCAGCCATCGGTAAATACAGCCACGTAAGCACAAGGACCTGAATCATTCCCAGAACCCACAAGTGTCATAAGCACTTACCATATTAGCACGGGAGAGGTAGAGGCAGGAAGATATTGAGACATTGCCGGTCAGCCAGCCGGACAGGTCAGCCCAGATCCCAGCGAGAGGTCCTGTCCCCAGACAGTGCAGGCTGGAGGCACTGCTCAGTCCCAGCACCCACGTGGTGGTTCACAACCATCCTCAACTCTAAATCCAGGGCATCTGACGCCCTCTTCTGACCTCTGCAGCCACTAGGCATGCGCATGGTACACACGCATATATGAAGTTAAATCAATCATACACAAAAAAATAACATAAATATATCTAAAATTGAAAAAAAAATTAGCAAACTGGGAACTGTAGAACTGGTTCAGCAGATAGGAACACTGAATATTTCTCTAGACAGCCCAAGTTCAATTCCCAGCAGCCACATGGCAGCTTACGGCTGTCCGTAACTACAGTTCCAGGGGGTCTGTTCCAGGCACGCACATGGTGCACGTGTATATGTATGCAGGCAAAATACACACACATAAATAAATAAATCTTCAAAGAAAAAAAAGCAAGGTGGATGCCTTCTGAGGAATGACACAAAAGCTGACCTCTGTCTTACACACACATACGCACACCATATACACATGAAACACACACATACACACACCATATACACAGACACACACACACAGACACACAGACATACACATGCACGCACATATGTACACACATACACACACACATGCACACATACACACATATATACACACAGAAACACACATGCACGCCCATACATACACAGACACACACACACCAGATATATATACATGTGTACACACATACACATACAGACAGACACACACATGCACACACATATATACACACATGCCCCCCTACACCCACACCACACATACCATAGACACACACACATCACACACACACTTAACACACACCACAGACATACACACATGCACACACACAACACACACATATACCCACATACACACACACCAGACACACACATACATATTCATGTGCACACACATACACACACACACATACACACACCACAGATATACACACATAACACACACATATACACACTATACACACACATACATATTCATGTGCGCACACACACACATACACACATATACAAACAGGCACACAAATGCACACACACACACACAAACACACACGACCTTTCTTTACTCTGGTCTATTAAGTTCCTGCCCTCTTCAACAGGTTTCCACAGAGTTTTTTCACTGTCCACCCACAAGCTGGCGAGGGTGGAGGCTGTGGACTGGTCCCCATGGCCCAATCCCGGGTGCAGCGTCTGAGCTGCATCCTCACTGGAAGATAAGCAGCATCCTTCATCAGACGCTCCCCGCGTGGCCCCAGAACCAGGACCACCTTCTGTGCATCCAGCACCAGCTGCAATCAACAGCTGGGTGGCGGGTGCAGCTGCCTGTCTTTCCACCCACATCCTGTCTGACTCAGCAGTGTGAACAGCTCCTCTCAGGAGGGAGGTGTAGCTGGAGGTCTCAGATCAATCAGGCTCTGTGGAGGGAACGCCAGGGCACTGAGCCCTCTACTCAGCAGTGCACTGGGCCTCTGTTCCCTCCACCTGAGGTCTGGACGCTCAGTCTGGGCAACCCTCAACAGGGTCAAGCTTAGGACTTGGAGAGAGAAGCAGACACACACCCAGGCCTGGAAGGACCCTTCAAAGGTTCATGAGTCCCTGGACACTTCCTGTGGTCTGATATTTGACACTCTAAGAAGGCTGATTCCCAGGTTCCCACACTGTCACCCCAGACTGGTCCCAAGGCCACCAACCACTAAAGAGTCAAAGAACAGAGGCTTGCAAAGCTACGTGCATCCTAGGAGGCAGCATTGTTTACGAGAGGCAAATGCTGGGAGTCAGCCAGATGTACATCAGTAGACAAATTGATTCTACCTGAACTGGGGACAGCTCAGTGGGACAGCACTTGCCTGGCAAGCACAAGTCCATTATAGGGGGAGAAAGTGTTCTGCTGTGCATATAACACGATTCAGTTTGTTAAAGGAATCAGGTTCTGACACAGGGTCCAATACGGATGAACACCGAGGCCACTGTGAAAGTCTCAAGGAGCCAGAGAGAACAGAGTAGCGCAGCCTCACCTAGAAAGAAGCATGGGGCTGTCACGACCTGAGGAAGAAGCATGGGGCTGTCACGACCTGAGGAAGGAGGCATAAGGAGTTACTTCATGGGGAGCAGAGTTTCTGTTTGAGGTGTGGAGAGTTCTGGAAATTCATGGAGGTGGTACTTGTGACACAACCTGGATGTGCCTAGCGGCACTGAGCTGCATCCATTAACAGGACCGCAGCAGTCAACGTATCTTGTGTGTGCTTCGTTACAACGAATGATAGTAATTAAAGAAGTGGGAGCACATCGTCACCCTCTGCTTCCGACTGCGGACATGCCACCGCCATCTGGCTTTCTCCACCATGATGACTCTGTCCCCTGGAGCCGAGAGCCAACACAAACCCTTCCCTTCCTCAAGTGGGTCCTAGGGCAATTTTGCTTCAGCAGTGAGAAGTTACTCATGTAGGGAGGAAGGCCAGACTAGAGAGATAGCAGGACGGGAGGACACTAGTGCAAACATCGGGAGGACTCACGTTCCTCCTCCCCGTCCTCAGCTCCGGGCCTCCACCTGGCACTCAGGCTGTGCTTCCTCATGGGTGAGATCTGGATTCCAGAAGGCCCACCCAGTGACCTAGCGATCACCAGAACATGGCTTGTTCCAAGAGCCACGGGAGCACGCATGGCTCTGCCACCAACCACCCCTCTCCAGCTGCCCAGGTTTCACAGTTCCAGGATCGCATGACCAAGGCCTGGCAGTGGCCACCAAAGGAGCTTGGTCCCCACAGGTGCTTCTCAACTGCAGGCACTTGCTGTGACTCTGAGCCTTGGGACGCAACTCTGCACATCCAGGTCTTTTCCCATTTCCATGGAAGTATGTGTCTTACACACACACACACACACACGCACACACACACGCACACACACACACAAAGGTTCTTCTAGGAACCTCAGAGCAAGGTCCTATCCCAAGTACACAGCTTGAAGACCCAGTGCTGAGTTACTCACCTTCTTGGTTCCGATATGGGATCTCAGCCACAGGGGGTCTGGGCTCCTGCCTGCTCTGCAGCTGAGACACCAGGGCCTCTGAGTTCTCCAGGGTCTGGGGCGGGAGCGGGCAGTTGGGTGCCTCAGCTGGCTTGGGCACCTGGATCTCTACCCTCTTGGGGGCTGCATCGGTGGTGACAGGCACGGCAGAGCCCTCGGGAATCTTTGAGGCAGGGGTCTCCACCCTGCGGAGCACTGACTCCTGAGGCTTGACTAGGGTGATCTCCGTCCTCCGAGGGACAGGCTCTGGTGTCTTGTGGCCCAGGACTTCGGCCCTCTTCAGCCCGAACCGTGAGGGCCCGGCAGCGGAGGCTGGGCCCTCCACCTGCTTGGAGGAGATGTCGATGGAGAGCTCCGTGCGGCGAGACATGGGCTCAGGTGCCTTGGCCCCGGCCAGGTCCACCCTCCGCAGGGGAGGCTTGGGTGAGCGCTGGCTCAGGGAGTCTACAAGGCGAGCAGCAGGCTCTGAGTTCTTCACCCCCAGGTCCTGGAATTTCTGGCTGGAGCTGGCCACCGTGGCTCGGAGCAGAGGGGTCTGGACCCTCCGGGGTGGCGTGGAGTTGGGCGGTTCAATTTCCTCGACTTCAAAAGATCTCTTTAAGGCTGGAAGAGAGAGAGAAGAGAGGCTGTGGTGTGCACAAGGGGAAAGGGGCCCTGGCATTACATGACATTCTCTATGTTAAAAAAATGGCAGAGCTGTCAGACCAAGGGGAGTGGAGAATCCCAGCTACTTGGGAGGCTGAGGAAAGATCTCAGGTTCAAGGCCTGCTTGTGCTACAGACCAAGTTCAAAGCCAGCTCAAGGAACTCTGTGAGAACTTTTCCCCCCAGAAAAAGCGAGGGATGGAGAAACCTCAGTGAGGGGGTGCTTGCCTACTAGGTACAGAACACTGGGATCAATACCCAACATGGTCAAAATGGAAAGAAAGAAGGACAGAGAAAGGTGTGCTGGGTACGATGCCATGGGGCTCACGAGGAAGCCACCTCCCTTTTTGGCCTGCATGTGGTAAGTATGAGAGACAGACAAGTTCATCCCAGGACCTCCCAGAGTTCCTGACACGCTGACACTCGGGAGGCTGTCCTGAGAGGATGGTAACCCCTCCCTTGTTCTGCTGTGGCCACAGCCCAAACCATAAAGCCACCCCCTCTAGAGACTTAGGACTGTGGAGTTTCTCTCCTGTGGTTTTCCTCCCCTTCTTCCTCTCCTCCCATGACACACACCCAGACACCATCAGCCAAGAGAGCACAGCCCACCATGACATGTGACATCCCGAGACACCTCAACAGCTGTGCTATAAGGAATACTATTCCTGGGGCTGGACAGCTTAGTGGTTAAGGGCCCTCGCTGTTCTTACAAAGGACCTGGGTTTGATTCCCAGCACCTACCTGGTGGCTCACAACCACCCAGAACTCCAGTTTCAGGGGATCTGATGCCCTATTCCGACCTCTGCAAGCTCCCACACGCATATGCTGCACAGGTTGGTTCACTGAGGCACCCTCACATACACATTAAAAAAAGGGCTTATCCCCTGCCTGGACAGCGAGACAGTTTAGTGTGTAAAGCAGGGACCCCCATGTGTCCTCTGACCCACATGCACATATAAGTAAATAAGTGTAATTTTTAAAAGAATACTATGCCCCTGCCTCAACAGTAAGGAACCATAGCATCCATCTCTGATACCAAGGCTGTAATTCTTAACCCTCTGGTCCCTTGGCTCAGCACATGCTCCCTGACCGACCTCATCAGCCTTGACCCTGTCAATCTAGTACTCTGGGCCGTGCAGGACACTGACCACCCTGCTCCTACCCTGAGGCCCAGTGTTTCCGCTCGGCCGTGTTGACTGCTCCCAGGGGAGCAGAGGGTGGTGGCTAGGAGGCCTCCAGTCTCTTGTCTCTGCAGCCACCAGTGAAATGAACACCAGCTGTTTAGGTTAGGCAGACGCAGAGCCGGAAGGGCCCGCGTGGCAGGAACATCCACCAGCTCAGGATCCGGACAATGCAGGGGGTTTCCCCCAGCCCCAGAACCCAGGTTTCATGGGACCTCATGATATCCTCTCTCCTCCTACCCACAGCAGAAAGGACCAAGAACTGGCCCCAACCCCTGGTGACAGCTCCTGGACCATAGATACTGCACCCCTACCGGCCCCCTCCAGCCTTTTCCAAATGCAAACACCCTCCCCCACCCCTCTCCACAGGCCTACAGTACCAGACTTCCTTGAGAAGACTACAGGCTGGGATAGGAGCCACTCACTGAAGAACTCAAGTCAGTGAAACTCTTCCAGAATCTACATTTTAAAGGCCGGGTGTGGGTGCACACCCTTGTAATTCCAGTACTGGAGAAGTGGGGCTCAGTGAGATCCCAGAACTTGCTGTCTAATCAACCTAGCCTCTTAGCATTCCAGGCTAGTGAGACCCTCAATCAAAAACAACTGAGGTCAACTCTGAATATGCTCCATACATACACACACATACAGGCACACACACACACACACACGCATGCACGTACACATGTGCACACACACACACATACACACACACACATACACACACACATGCATGCACGTACACATGTGCACACACACACACACACACATGCACACATAGGTTTTGTTAGAGTTTCTTCCTTGAGAGACATGACTATGTCTCCTAAGGAATTAATATATGACTTTAAAGCTCCCCCTCGGGAACCGGTGAATTTCTTGGGCTTATCTACAGAGCACCGGTGAGGAGTTACCCTCAGGAGCATAGAATGATCCCGAAGCTGCCACACTAGGGGCTTTACCCAGAATAAATGATGATGCCCCGTAGCTACCACATAGGTGGCACCCCCTTGGTTCCCCAGCCCATATATACACTAGCCCCTCCAGACACCACCAAGAGCAACTAGAGCAGAATCCTTACCAATGGCTGGGAGGAGTGGCTAACTCCCTCCTATGGCCCACAGGCACACTCCTAACGGGCCTTGCAAGCAGGCACCCGCTGCCCTGAGAGAGGTAAGGCTGCAGAGGGGAGAGGCAGAAGAAACTCAGGCTCCTGGTGCCTGGCTCCCCAGACTGGAGCACTCCTGTGGGGACCCCTTTCCTTCTGTCAGACAATGAAGGGAACAAGACCCTGGGCCAATCATAAACTGCAATCACCCCCACCCCTCACCATCGCTATCCCCAGTCCTGCCCCCCTCCATCCCCCTCCCACATCCTTGGTCCCACAGCCTTGGTCTCTGCCTGTGCATTCTGCCAACAGTCCACATTCCCATGTTAATTTTGAACGCTGGCACAAAGCAAAATGAGCTGAACAAACTACATCCACAAGCCTCAGTCACTCATGGTCTCAAGGCCCCTAGGTCCTTGGCTATCTATACAATGTGCGTACACAGAGGGAGAGCCTGCCTTGGCTCAGATCCATCCCCAGATAAGTGCCTGTCCTCCTCAGGAGATGAATCAGGTGCCAAGCCAGGCTCTCCCCAGCCTTCCTGGATCCTACGCTGCCCACACACTTCTTCCCCAGCCCACGGAGCCACAGGCTTCAGGGAGTGTGTTCAACACTAGACATGGCCGCTCACGGCACCACCATGACCTCACTAACTTCCAACAGCGTGGCTGTGGGCTTCTAACTGTGGGCATGGAGCCTAGAGGATGGGCCTCCAGAGCAGAGGCATCGCTTTCAATCCCACCTAGCCCAAGACACCCCACTTTCTTCAAGGATTATGCAGTGGTTCTGAAAACTGCCCCCCCACACACAAAAAGACCTCTTCAGGTGCTATCCCCTCAGAACTTTGTGGGAAACAGGTCTTACACTATAATCAAGATGAGGATACTTCTGATTTGGGATGGACACCAAGTAGTGTCCTTGAAAGAGAAAGGCAAAAGATTATCCGGAGAGCTGGAAGCCAGAGGCCATCTGAGTGTCTCCGGCCACAGCTGCTGGGACAGGCAGGAAGTATCCTCCCTTTGGGGTGTTTGGATAGAGTACAGATTTACTGACACTTTGACTTTAAACTCCAGAACTGAGAGAGAATGGATGTGTCCATCCTGTCACCAATATTGCAGTATAGCAGCCTGGGACAAACGCAGAAGATGCAGGAGAGTCAAGACTCCGGGTGGTGTGAGGTCATCAGGAGCCCAGTAAGAGGGTACAATGTGCCACACTGCAGCTCAGTCCAGGGCATCTGCCTGAGACCCTGACTTGACTACATATCTGATGCCAGTGACTGCCTTAGTAGAGCAGTAGCTGGGCACAGGTTTGAGCTAGTGCAGCCAGAGGGACCCCAGTGAGCACCCCAAATTATATACAGAACATATAGGTCTCCACACTGCCACTGGAAGCTAAAACAGTACCACCAGCCCTTACGGCAGGAGGGGGCCACTCGGGCCTTTTTTACCCAAAGTGCTCTAAAGGTCTGACTCACCCCTACCCAAGCCAGGTTCAAGTCTCAGCTACTTCTCCGAGCCCCTCAGCCTCCACCCTCCTAACTAGAACCAAAGGCTGTTGAGGAATCTTGTGCTCTGCCCACTTCTGGGACTTGCGTCCCAAGGAAGTGATCAGAAGATTTAGGTAGGAGAGCACCTACATCCACACAAACATGGCAGACTCTGAAAACCGTGCGGATATACAGTCCAGAGTCTCATAGAGTCACCGGAATCACATCGTGGAAGATGAGAAATGCTGAGAAAATTTAGTAAAAATAGCAGGATACAAGCCGCATACACAGGGTCCTAACTCCCGTCACGGGCGTGAGCGCATCTTTGAAAACTGCACCTTGCTAGGGAAGTTCTGGTGGTTCTGGAGGACTTTGCACATGATGCAAGAGAACACACACCTCCCAGCTCACTCCTTTCCCGAAGCACAAGCCCCTCCCCTTGCCCCTCAAGCACTTTGCCTCAGCAGCTATCCACAGAAAGGCCAGCAGCCTCCTTCCAGCTGTAAACCCTCCTTCCCCAGAACCTGTGGGGGGCCTAAGCCTGAGCAGCCTGGGTCTGGGCCTGTTTAAGGAGGAATGTAGGAAGCACAAGGGACCATTGTTAAGGCCCCTGCTCTGACCGCAAGCTGCGGGAACCTCTGAACTGCTCCTGGCTCCTGAAACCGGATCGAACACTTCCTGGTGCACGGATTGTATCGGGCCTGCTCTGGGAGGGGAGACCAGGGAAAGCTACAAAGCCTCGCCCCAGCCTGAGACCACTGTCCAGTAAGGAAACGGAAAGCCTGAGGTCAAAACAGCACAGGGAGGGAACAGCATAGAACCATTGCTCAGGCTGAGATACTCAGGTCAGACTTCTACGCAGGAACTGCAGCATACGCTAGCCACATGGAAGGCAGAGTTCACCACTCAGGGCATAGGACAGATGGTGCCACAGAGGGAAGCCGTCCGTCCACCCACTGGTAACAACGCACCTGTATGAAGAGGAGCTGGTGGGTGGTGGACCAGAAGGCTCCCCGGCCGCAACTGTCCTGCCCTGCTCTCGGGCTCCTTTAAGAACTGGGCCTTGGGCCCAGATCCTTACTCTGGGAAAGAGTGGGGCGGGGCAGCGGGCAAGGCCTTGGCCTTGGCAGAGCTGGGCCTTAGCCTCCTACTCAGCCCGAACTGGAGGCAGCAACTCCCATCCTATGGAGACTGAGAATGTAGAGCAAGGGCCCCATGCCTTCCCCAGCTGCCCTTGTGGCATGAGACCGTTGGAGAGCCTCATTCAAGGCTGACAGCTGAAGGCTCGAACCCAACAGTGCTGGAGCCATATCCTATATCCTGGAACGCCAAACCTTACCTAGCTGTGCGTGACGACGTAGTGGCAGTCACACGTGTGATGTGGTGCAGTGGCCCACCTCTCCCGGCTGAGGCCACACTTGTGGCTCAGGCACCCTGCTGCCTTTACCTCATCTTAGGTAGCCTGTCTCTGCCTCTGTCTGGGACCTGATGGAGGTCATATTCTGGTCCTCTCCAAAATGGAGTATCAACACTCCAGCTCTCCGAATTCTGAGGCAGGATTTCTCTGGGGATCAGTTTGCCATCCTCAGGGCTCCTCGGGACACGCTGGACTCTATTGCCTTTTGTGGCCTAGTCCCCTCTGTCCTATCCCAACATGGGGACCCTAGTGACCATCTCCCCTTGGGGGTCCCTGTCTCAAAGGTTACTTTCAGAGGCCTGGGCTGCTGGAGGGGGGCAGTAGGTAGGGGGCAGGGAGTAGACTTAGGACAGGAGGAGGATACAGATGGGAGACGTGGGGAGGGATGTACCTTCAGGAAGCAGAACAGTCCCAAAGGAAGAACTTAAAATTAGTCCCAGTGAGTAGAGCCTGTACAGGAAGTCCGTAAACAGCCATCCCTACCTACAACCACGTGGTTATTTAACAACAAAGCCAGGCCAAGTCCAAATGAAGACAGGAAGTTCTTCCTTCTTGGACAGTGCCAGCGGGAGACCTCAAACCTACCCGAAGTCTAGGAAGGAAAGTGAGAAAGCAGGAGCTGACACCTCAGGAGAGCCTCCCTCCCTCCCCTCTCCCGCTGCACCTTCCTCAGGTCCCGACCCTGCTGAGCCCAGCAGACAGATCCTAGAAGAAAAAGTACCTCTGCCCAGGGCTCCAGCATGACAGGCCAGGGCTCTGGCTACCCTGGGTTTATCTGTACATGTGGCCCACAGATGGTGGCCAGGGATCATGACACCGAGGTCATTGCCCATAGAGTCCTGTCCCATGATCCTCTCTGCCTGCCTTTGGAAACCCAGCATGAACTCACAAAGATTTAACCAGCATCTCTGGGTGAGGAAAAGGCTGGACACTTCCATCCACCTAACTCCTGGGAAGAGGTACAACTGGTATCTCTGGAAAGCGATTCTGCCAGGGGACTTGGGGTTCCACGGACAAAGCCAGAGAAGGCCATTCTGCCGAAGCAAAGGGTCAACTCTGTGCTGTCTCCCCTCTCCCTCCACCCTCTCTCTCCTTCTCTTCTCTCTTGGTTCACTGAGACAGAGGCTCACACTGTACATAGCCCAAGCTGATCTCAAACTCTCAGTGGTCCTCCTGTCTCAGTCCCTCCAGCATATGTACCACGGAGCCTGGCTCCCATGTGTTACTTTCTGATGACTTTAGAAAGAGACTTCTTCCTTTGTCAAGGTCACTCTGGGCCCTCAAATTTCCCTATCACATGCCAAAGGGGAAGTGACCCTGTGAGGGAGGTTAGAAAAAATCCCATCCCTGCCACTGAGTCTCTGAGATAAGATGAAGAGAAACAAAGAATAAACATTTGTAGAAGCTGGGTCTGGGATCTCAGCCCAGCACACAGGGTGTCAGTGCCCACATCGCGTCTCCCAAGGCAAAGCTTGCAAAGCCTGGTCCCTCAAAACAGGACACGGAATACAGGCAGCTGTGCGCGGCCAAGACCTCGTGTTCAGGATCGCAGACAACTGGTTTTTTTACTGGCATGCTGAATAAGTCCTCTACCATTGACTTCTTCCTAGGTGTCCTGCCCCCAACTTCACTGTGTTGGTTTCTCCTTGGAAAGACCTGTCAACAGTGAGATGAAGTGGTACCCAGGTCCAGTCAGCAACACACTCACTCATCTGGAATCCACTCAGAGCCTGTCACAGTGGCTCCCCCAAATCCAACTACCTGCTTTGGGTGAGCCAAGCACAATGAGAGAGGCAGTGCCCACTCAGATGACACATATGTACTGCCTCCCATGACCTAGAACTGCGGCTCTATTCAGAAAGAATTTCTCCAACTATGATTAAAGCGAGGCTCTGAAGGACTGCCCTGGATCAGGGCGGGCCCTGAACCCGTGACAAAAGTCATGGAAGATGGGAAGAGATAAAACTGATAAAACACACACATGCAGACGGCCTCATGAAGGCCATCACGGGTGCGTGTCAGGGAAGTGTGTACAAGTCGAAGACTGTTGACAGCCACCAAAGCCAGAAGAGACATAGGAACAGCTCATCCTTCCCTCCCTCGGGGCCTGGAGAAGGTAGTTAGGCCACAGACACCTTGAGTTGTAACTAACTGCTGACCTGCACAGCTCTGAGAGAATACTTACTGTATGAGGGTGGGAAGTCCCACCAAAGCTGATATAGCAGCCCCAGAAACGACGGTCCCCTTCAATCCCAGAAAAGGGGAGAGGAGGCTTGGGTACAGCTCCATGTCACAGTGGCTCCACTGTGGAGCCTGTGTGACACCCTGCACAGCAAGATCTCTGTCTCCAGAGAAGGGGAGAGAAAGGAAGAGAGCAGAGGAGGAGGAAGAGGAAGAGGAGGAAGAAGAGGAAGAGGAGGAGGAAGAAGAAGAGGAGGAAGAGGAGGAGGAAGAGGAGGAGGAAGAGGAAGAGAAAGAGGAGGAAGAAGAGGAAGAGGAGGGAGAGGAGGAAGAGGAAGGGGAGGAAGAAGAGGAGGGGAGGAGGAGGAGGAGGAGGAAGAAGAGGAGGAGGAAGAAGAGGAGGAGGAAGAAGAGGAGGAGGAAGAGGAGGAGGAGGAAGAGGAGGAGGAGGAGGAAGAGGAGGAGGAAGAGAAGGGGAGGAGGAAGAGAAGGGGAGGAGGAAGAGGAGGAGGAAGAAGAGGAGGAGAAAGAGGAGGAGGAGAAAGAAGAGGAGGAGGAAGAGGAGGAGGAGAAAGAGGAGGAAGAAGAGGAGGAGGAGAAAGAGGAGGAAGAAGAGGAGGAGGAGAAAGAGGAGGAAGAAGAGGAGGAGGAGAAGGAGGAAGAAGAGGAGGAGGAGGAAAAGAAGGAGGAGGAGAGGACTCGAGCCTGTCTTCCCATCCTGTTGGGCTTCTTGGCTTTGTGTCTACTCTAAAGCCCACCTCTCAGTCCAGCTTGGAAGTCCAGGGAAGGGACAGATGGGTCTTCTGCTCCTCTCTCTCAGCCCACCATGTTTCCTACCCAGCTTCATGCTATTCAGCACTGAGCACAGTGACCCTTTCTATTGCCTGGCTCATCAGCGAGGTGGAGGTGAGGGTGGGTCCCCTCTTTGTCAAACCGTCCTCATGTGCAGCCTGGAGGTCCCAGCTCACAAACTGTTTGATAGGGTCACAGATCCCCTTTAGAATCCGGAGTTCCAGGTGGCAGTAAATTACAGGGTCACTCTGCCTGCAGCAGATGTCACACACACACACACACACACACACACTCACACACACTAACATATACTCACATACACTCATACACACACTCACACACTTGCACACACTCACAAAACACACACACTAACACATACACACATATACTCACACTCTTGCACACACACACTCACATACACTCATACACTCACTCACAAAACACACACACTAACACACACGCATTTGCGTGCGCACACACACACACACACACGTAGCCTCATACAGGGTCAGGAAGCCCTCCTCACAATGCTACAAACCCATCAGACAGGCATGTAAGAAGCCTCTGCCCAGAGCTGGGGGGCCTTAGCCTACACCCTCCCCTGTGGGCCTCCAACGTTCTTCTTCCAGAGCCTGTGGCCCCTTGAGGAGGCTGCCCCAGTAAAGGCCCTCTTTGTGTAAATTTTAGATTCCTGCCTCTAACCTGCCACCTTGCTCCCCTCCTGCTTGGAGCCCCAGGGTCATTCCGCAATGGCCATAAACTGGTTGCAGGATTCGACTCCCTTTCGTCTTTGCTAAATTACAGCTATGGGACTTGAACACACCTGGAATCGTCAGCAGCTGAAGAAACAGGCCTAAATTGAGGTTAAATTGAGATGTGGGGCAGATATGAGGAAGAACTTCCTGTTTTGGGGCAGGAAGGCCACAGGGCAGAGGAAGCGTCTCTCCCTGATGCTGTGCAGAGGTGGACACAGAAGTATTTTGAGTTTGTGTTTTGTTTATCAGACGGGGTCTTATATTGCCAGGCTGCTCTCAAACTCACTATGCAGCCAAGGCTGGCTTTGAATCCATGCCTCCTGCCTCCACCTCCCAAGTGCTGGGATTATGGGCTTGTGCCACTGTACACAAAGGACACAGCTGCGGACAGGTCCCTGAAGGAGGGTCTGGATGCTCCTGGCCTTGGGGAGGGGAGGGGATTATGTGACCTTTGAGTTCCCTCAGGCCAAAAGTTCCCAATTAAATGGCAGCTGATGAAGGAATAAGAGGCTGAAGACTTCAAAAAAAGAAAGGAAGGAAGGAAGGAAGGGAGGGAGGGAGGGAGGGAGGGAGGGAGGGAGGGAGGGAGAGAGAGAGAGAGAGAGAGAGAGAGAGAGAGAGAGAAAGCCTAGCCTGCAGCTCTTGCCACTTAGAATGTGAAGGTCAGAAGCCACAGGGGAGGAAGCTAAGTTTCCTAGTTTGCACAGTGGGACACAAAACCAGGGTCCCGTCTAGGGATAGAAAGCTTAGAGTCCAACTAGAGGCCAGTACCCAGCACAGCCCACTCACCTCAGTTTACCTCCTATCTGCTCCCCAACATCTAACTCACCTGAAGGTTCTCAACTCCCCCAAACACTGCTCTCCCATATTCTGAGGCTTCGCACGGGTCCCATTTCCCATGATCCTCCAGATGGGGGCCACGCCAAGAAGCCTCCATGAAACAATGGTCAGGCAGCCTGCCTATGCAATACAGGTCTGTCTGGGACCTACCTTCCTTTCCAGCATGATAAGCCTGGGTACTTTCCTGGGGACCCAGAGCTCCTGAGGGAGACATGGTCCTGTGTCTTCTCTGCAGCATAGAGAAGGCTGTTAGGCCAGGATCAGTTCTCAGGGTCCAGTTTCCTGGCTTAGCCATTCCCTCCTTCTCCATCTTAAGTCCAGTCATTAGATACATGTGTAGTGACCAGTCCTGACCTGCCTAAATAGAGAAATACCCTCCCTCCTCCCTCCACACACCATGGGAAGATCTCAAAGGCACTTTAAAAGTGAGAAGAAAAAAAAAGTCAAGGAGAAGCGGCATTTACTACCAGGGGCCACTTGGCCCGGTGGGACCCTCCATTAATCACACAAGCCATCTTGGACAGGGTGCCAGCTGGAGCTGTTCTGTGGCCTGAGGCCCAGGCAGATATGAGCTATGGCCTAATTACAGGGCACAGTGACCCCAGGGTCAGAGTTCAGGCTCCTGTCAGAACAGCACCCAGGAGCCAGGGGCGGAGTCAGAGGCCAGTTCTTGACAGTCAGACTCAATGTTCACCCAGCTGCCTGAGGTGGGGTCAGAGCCTCAGGGACCACAGGGCCCTGCCTGTGCCCCGTCCGCCTTGCTTGGTTAGGTTCCACTGAGCCTGAGGATGGGGTGGGATCTCTCTTTAGCTTCAAAGACTCAGCAAAGAAGGGTCACGGAACACTGAGACTGAGAAAATGGGTTCACTGTGTAGAAGAGGCCACAGCTGGACACTGAGAAAATTCTAGAAGAAGTTGCCATGAAGCAGTCAGAGGTGGAAGCTATGCAGGGTCTGGTGTGGGGAGAGGGGGGCTCCTCCTTCTGAGACTCCCTGGGGTTCCCCTTTGTCAGCAAAGCAGTTGCTACCCCATGAAGCACTCTTGAACTTAAACAGTTTGGAACCTTGTGGGAGCTGGCCATAGTCTAGGGTCTCCATGCTTACCAGCTCTAAGGTGGGGCTGGAGCTCAGGGAGGAGAGGAGGAGCCAGGAGCAGAGGAGCTACAGGGAAGCAGTTCTGGGAGAGGGGACAAGGAAGGAAGAGGGAAGGTGGGGTCATCTGGAGAGCACCCTTCCACATGGCAGGTGCAGGACGCAGCTAAAGTCTGTCACCAAATGTCTGGTCCACCAGATCTCATCCACTATGCTGTCCACCCACTTCGAGTCTTGGACCACATCAGAGTCAGCGATACAGGAAACAGGGATAGAGGGGACAGAGCCTTGGTCCTTCTGCTTCTTCCAAAGTGCAGCCCGTCAGACAGCTAAGAAACAAGAACTGTGCCATGCTCATCAAACAGACATGGAAGCCAGCAGTCACTCAAGGCATACAACTAGGGATATCTGGTTTCTTGATGCCCACTGCTCAGCCTGAGCCTAGAACTACCACCACCGTCACCACCACCACCACCACCACCGTCACCACCACCGTCACCACCACCACAGTCGGCTATGCTGCAGACTCAATATATCCCCAAAGAAAGGATCAGAATCCTGGGTACCCATGAAAGCTTTTGCACATGCCTTTAAGGATGTCGAGTTGATATCATCCTGGGTTTAGAGCAGGCAGACAGAAAAGAAGAAGGAGGGCTGGTGAGAGGGCTCAGTGGGTAAAGGGGCTTGCTGACAAGCTTGACCTAAGTTTTATCCCCTGGACCTACAATGGTAGAGAGAGAACCAGCTATCACAGGACATCCTGACATAGCACAGACATGTACATACACACATATGCATGCACATACAGGGGAAGAAGGGAGGGAGGGAGGGAGGGGAGGAGGGAGGGAGGGAGGGATGAAGGAAGGGAGGGAAGGAGGGAGGGAGGGAGGGAGACTAAAGCAAAGGCAGAGGACATGTCTATACAGCAAGGGTAACCAGGACAGATGCCTGTGACAGGCTCCCCCTCTG